ACAGAGTCGAACAACCGTCTTTAATGAGGGAGATTTGGCGCAATTGCATAGACCCATTCCGCACCAGGAACCCATCGGAAATTCTACCACCCCTGGAGCAAGGGACGCTACCGTTCAATCAAAATCCTGTTGCCCACGCATTATGTCATTCGGAGTGCGGAGCTCGTTACTCAACCTCTAACAGTACAAGATAGCAAGATTAGGCCATACACGGGTCTGCCCTTAGTAGGTTACGAAGACGAAGTCTGTACGTTGGCAGTATAGAGGAAGTCGCCTGACGGAAATCTACTGGTCAGTACTGGGGTTGATGCTTGAAAGAGACGTTGGCTTACAGATAGAATTGTAAGAGCTGCCTGTCTACCCTCTGGTCCTTGAACCATAGACTTCAAGAGAGAGTTGGTTGCAGATGATTTATTAGGCCTTTGTCGTAGGAAGAATGGGGAATGGGATGCAGATGAGGCGAATAGGAGATACTAATGGGAGTGACACTTCTCACCGACTTCGCGCACATGTTTTGCGCTACCATTTGGTTGGTGATTGTCACCTGTTAAAGTTCACGTAAAGGGATATATATTAAAATGTCTAGCCCTTTTACGCGTGGGCTGGCCTTTGGGTCAAGCTCAGGCCTATTTCCCTTATTCATCCCCGAATACACATATTCAGTTCCGCTTAATGCCTTCTTCTACCCTATGGGGAGTCTCCGAACTTTACACTAATTGGGTCTGAATACTTTAAGCAGGAAGAATCGGAAGAGACCGGGCTTAGGCTTGTTGCTCGGGTTGGTCCACGCGGCCAAGAGTAACATGAATGCTACTGATCGAGTTTTGCAGATAGTTGGATGAACAAGGCATCATAAGTGTTACAAACAAGCGTCGTATTCACTTATTAACTTTTACATTTAGCTGAAAATGATTTGACCTCAAGTTGTAATGATCTAGTAGCGAGTAAAGACATTTAATGATATGGTTTAAACACAAGAACGTCGGGTCCCCGCGTATTGCTCTGTTTATGTGACCACCGGACGTTTGACGCTTATTTTAGGGCTCATCTGGCCATTGTTCTCGTTCTCCTTGGGAAGTCTTGGGACGCTGCACACTTGGGCAGACATGTCACCTCTAATTGGTGGACAGGCCTCTAAAACACCGAAATCACAATAAACCTCCCCTTCTGCTTGAGTACATGTGTACTACATCTACCCCTCATAACCCCCCAGATGCCACAGTGGTGGCAACAGTTAGCGAACACAACACTGTATTGACCTCGACCCTGTTTCCCACAGATTCAGACCATCTTGAGGTGGGAATATTAGCGGGGTCAGGTCTTGCCATACTCCCGTGTTTCGCAGTCAAAGTAGCATCATGACACTTTTGTTGTGGAGTTTTTCCTACTGCAGTAGTTGATAGATACGGATACAGCGAATGTGCACGAAGCTCTCTCCACACGGAATTGTGTCGATTTCATGATAACTTTATTTTGCTTAAACTCGAAGATGAGACCACGAAAATAAAACAGTTATTTGAAAAACTAACGAAGCATAACATATTTCGACGCCTTGTTTATTTAAAAGGGTGCGGTTCTAGTCAATGCTTCCTAAAGAAAGCGCTAAAGTCACCTGCACTGTCACAATTTTGCGAATAGTTCCGGCAGCATAATCATAAGTAATGCTGCTTTGTTTTTCAGCCATTGTTGTGAAACGATGTTGGTTTAGTACTTAGACATAGGAAAAAGCAGTTTTCTTCTTCATTTGTTGAGTCGATTACAAGTATTGCTGAATGGAAATGCATATGTCGTATGTATGGAGCTTACGCCAGTCAAGCCTATTGATGGGACTAGCGTGAAGAAAATTGCTTCTTTGCGTAGAATACCTTCACCGTTCATTCGCTGAATTAAGCTCGGTGTTGGTGCTTGGTTTCATGGCTGAAGGTGACTGAACGGTTGGGAGTACTTTGGGTGCTTTCGTTGATAAGCATCGAATTTCTGCCGTCAGTTTGTTGATTTCCTCAGCCTGGGACTGGAGAATTTTTAGGCGATCCGCTGTTTCGATCCTGTCCTTAATAATTCCTTCACAAAGTTCCCTATTCTAGAAAATAAAGTAAACAAGCTCACTATCGTTGAATTTTCCACCGATATAGTTTCCCTTCCTTAAGCTCATTTTAAGTCTTTGGTAAAAAACGATTGGCAAAGGTTTGCATAGGATTTTGTTTAATGGCATTACAAAGTTGACGTATAATCAAACTTCAGATTGCAGGATCGGCACTTTTGTCAAAAAAAGTGTATCCGAAATATGACTTATGTACTGACTGGATTGCGCATGTGGCCTTCCATGGAGGCAGAAAGGGTTTGCATCTCATTAAACAGCATGAGGGTTTTCACCACTAAACGGGTGTTCTCACGCAGGTGGGCTGCGTAAATATCCCGGGCATCTCGAAGGCGCTCCTCTGCCTCATCCTCTTCCCGCTGGATTCGTGCCTGCAGCGCCAGCATGCGGAGTGCGATCTCCTCAACCTTGGGATGAATCGTCTCCAACTTTTCTAGGTCGTCTAGACGTCCGAACTTGTCAACCATCATTAGATCACACTTCACTGCCATCTTCCTCAACTCTTCCTAAATAAAGCAATCAAGGCAGATAGTGCTCTTGTCTGTCGACAATAATTTAACTTTAAAGGTATTGTGTGCTGAACGTAGCACGAGTAAAATGACTTTTCACTTTAGGTTTTAGACTCAGATGACTAAAAGCCAAGTTCGATGATAAATAATAATTTGTATCAGTGCAACATATGGTAAAGCAATGAAAAGGTAAGAGGAAGATGTCTCAATGAGTGTAACAATATTTTGCTGCTAGGAGTAGCATAAAATGTTTACTACTAAGACCAGGATGGATGGGATGTGCTAAAATGTTTAGTTCATTGCAGTTTGAAATAACCGACGAACAGGTCAATAAATTTTGCGAAAAAGGTGACAAAGCCATGTTTTAATTTGTAAGCTTTCAAACGACGTACCAGGAAGACTTTTTTGTGATGTTGGAGCATGATATGCTTCTCCTTAGCTTGCTTCTTCTCCCTCCGTTGAACTCGTTTCTCATCCTCCAGCGCCTGAATGCGTCGCCGCAGGCGAGTCACGTTGTCGTGCCTAAATACAAGGATCGGTGCAAAGTCTTGCGGTAGCGACTTGTCCTGAAAGAAGACGATCTGGTCTAATCGCAGACTGACCAGTCGTTCAAGGACGTTCAACTTCCTCTGTTTCTCCAACTATGGTAAGACCAAAGGAGACTAAAATGGGTCTGTCAAGGTAAGCATTTTTAAAAGGCTTTGACCTACTCTTGATTTCAGCCCTAGCCAGCCATTTAAAGAACTGGATTCCTCAAAAATCTTGTTTACAAACCTAGTTGTGACGATTGAAACTTGCAACACAGCATTAGGTAACCTTTAAAAAACAAAGCACTTGACGAAAAATCAAAATTAGAAGTTCAGATAAAGTCTTCGGCCGCCTATTTGGATCATTATTCGAAAATGCTTATGATCTTCCAATCAGTTCTAGAGAATCAATTATATCCACTTTATCCAGAGTGAAAATACTGCTCTTATTTTAGTGCAATTCTCCACGCATCGTTCGGTTTTGGTGAACATTCCCTTTTTGCAACCCTTATTCTTAATACAAAAGAAAAGGAAATAACTCGTAATGTTATCAGACGATCTAATGCAAAAACCTCAAACTAAACGGTTGGAACATGAATACAGTGCTCTGATACCTTCCCATGATTCTGCTCTCAGCACTCTCAACAAAAAGTTATTTAACCATTAGCCAAATCTGAAACTGACAACGCTCCTACACGACCACAAAGTAATGTGATAATAAGGAGCGGTCAACTGTATCACCTTATACAAGTGGTAAAATCTCCTCCAGCACATAAGCATATATAGTGTGTATGATAATGACATACTCCCAATAACACTAAAAAGAGAGCAGTGGCATCGACAGCTGGCAACTTTAAATGCCGTTAAACACTTTTGTTTTAAATTTCGTAAAAGTTTTGCATCTGAGCTCTACCAGCAGAGGCTGCAAGGCAAAGGACGCACATCGGAACGTGTTAATATCGCTGATCGTCGAGGCGAAGGAAATAGAACTTTTGACACAACCAAATTCCCTCTGAATGCTTTTGGTAAACTTTTTAACTATTGGCGAATTGACGTGCCTGGAAGGCCTGCAACTCCGTAGTAGCCTGTTGCAGACTTTGCTGAGCTGAACGTGATCGTTTGGCGAGGGCCTCGGCCTCCTTTCTCTGAGAGTCGAGCAGACGTTTTTGATCTGCAATTTCGTCCTCCACATCGAGACGTTGGTCGCGAAAGGCGATGGTTTGATCGAAATCCGCCTGCGCACAGCCTGGTGGGCAAATGTCAAGGTCGAGCATGTTGCCTTCCTCGTCATCATCATTCTCATTCTCCTCCGCCTCATCCGACTCGTTCCATTCTGAATCTTCTGACGATGACGACGATGATGAACTGCTTGATTCGCCTTCGGCTTTAAAAGTTAATTAAAGTGAAGGACTTTGTTTTTGCTACTGAAGGCCTATTAGTGAGAAGGAAAGCAATTAGGGCCTTTATTCCTATCTAGTGAAGACAAATGTGCTGGGATCTGCCAACTCACTTCTATTGATTTCGTTGCACTTTAAATTAACAAATACTTTCAGTAAATTCGAGAATCCCATCAACAAAAGGGCTTCCCATGATTATTACAGCTGCAACAACGGTCATCACCACCCAATCATCCAAGCAAGAAAATTCTACGAGGCAGTATATTGAGGACGCCTGTGGCAAGTAGTGAGATAATCCTGACGAAGAGTTTCAAAACACCTCATCCGGTCATTGCGACCAGAAGATTCCGCCGTAGGGCTTGGGCAACCTGGAACTGCCTTTCATACAGCAGAAATATTGACACCACTTACACGTTATCCTACAGTATTTCGTTGAAAGTCATGAATGAACCCTTTCCTTGAGATGTAAATAACCCACAATTGCTTAAATACTTTTACCGAAAATGCTTTTCTGCATTCAAATTACATCAGCAACTCTCTCAAAAAGGCGCAGTTAGGAGACCAAAATAACGCTCATCCAGAAACTGGTACCACTTAGCCAGAGTTGGACTACTGTCTTACCAGCGGCTGCACCTTTTGCCTTCCTTTTGACTCTCTTTCGATAAACCTTGTGGAGGAAATCGCCCCATTTGTGATTATCGCCGAGGAATTCCTTAAATTCGTCATAAACGCCGTTTTCCTTCGTTACAAGGCGTTCAATGTTCGCCAAGGTTTCCTCAATCTCCACCTCCGTCTCATTGACCTTCGGAAATTTGAAGTGGATTAACCAGAACTTAGCTTCCACAACTGGAACTCCAAATATCCCCACAGTACTTTGAGTTATTTATACGTAGAATCAGTCAAACAATATTTACACAACAAATGTGCTTATGCGAACCGAAACCTGTTTAATTTCCCCTTATCACTCCTATACGGTTTTCAGTAGGAGTAATTTTAGATAAAGCAATTGTAAATTCTACCTCTGAATGATAATATTTGCATTATAGCATTTCAAGCACGCTACTTGATAACGTCTCATGGATAAGAAACGACTGCATGATTGTAGGTTTGTTACATGTTAAAGAGTTCACCTTTTGATCAATCTCATTCTTCTCCTGGCTTTTGGCCTCATGATTCGCCGCCAAACCTTGTTCAGCCTTTTCAAACTCAGTTAGTAGTTTGTACTCTTCATATAGGATGAGCAAATTAAGATTGGCACGCCTCATGAGCAAGTCGAGGTTCACTTTCTGATGACTCAATGTACGTAGTTCCATATTAAAGCACCGGACCATAGCTCCCGCCTCAGTAACCAAATACTGCTGCTTGTAAAGGGCTCTTTCATGGTGCAAGTTCTGGCGGTCAGTTTCAAAAGGCAGATTATCGTCAGAATCCTGTGAATCTGAGCTCGCAAAAAGGGTTGGATGTTCCGCATCTTTGCGCATTGTGGCATCTTCAAGCAGACTTTTTGCACCTCTTTTCACCGAGCCCTCCTCATCAATAGTATCAACCATGCTATCCGGTTGAAGGGGTTGCCTGGTCAGCAGAACATGTGCTGAAGATTGGAGCAGCTGTTCTTCTGGATACATGGAGTATAAGGACAAGCCGACTATTTCTGGGCGGTGCGGGAAGGGGATATTAAGGGTATAGAAGCTTTTGGGCTCAACTAGTCGTGCTGTTGAGACAAATAGAACCCGGCGATCATCATGCATTACTACATTCAGTCCCGAAGAGTCTGGAATGCATTCTGATTGTGGCTCATCCGGATTTGACAACTAGAATAGGCTTTATACATCAGTACGAAAAGGGTCATACGGTCTTTTTTAGCAGGGAAAGTTTCCCATCCTCTGAAGGGGTCACATTATTGGCTATTTTTTTGTAATTTTCCAGAGCCAAATCCGTGGCATCGAACGCCCTATAAGAGAAGGGAAACGATTTTCGAACAAGAGCAAAGCAACTTACCTTTCAGGAAACTCATCGTCATCAAGATTATCTATTTTTAGACGAACGGCTATACTGGTTGGAGGTAAGTCCTCGGATAGTTGTTTAAGAGTTTCATCAATATTCTTTAGTTCTTTGATAATAGTCGCCTTTTTGTTACGCAACTTCAAAAGGCGCTGGTTGAAATCGTCTTGCCTTTGAGAAATCTACAGTTACGTATGAGTTGGACACCAGAATGCAAAAGGCAATTCACCTGAGTGATAGCTTCGAGTAGAGCAAGGCGCGCTTTAGTGGCTGTGGGCTTCAAATGTTCTGGAACGGAGTAACTGGGCGAGGACTTTAGTTTGAAGTCACCCATGTTGTTTTTAACGTACTCTATCGCTGCTACATCGAGAGGGTCTTCCCACTTGTTCGTGGGTTTTTTCGCGTACAATTCCTCCCACTGCTTTGAAGAAAGAAAAAAACAAACGATGTCTAGTGTTGTTTCACTGGTCAAAGGCTAAGACAGGATATGGATTTTGATTATTCTTGCAATGTGCAGGCGAAATTCGTGTGTAAAGCATGGTTACTGAAGCATTTTGTGTGTCTAACTGAACTACTGCCGTAGTCCAAAACGCACTTTTAATGTTTTACCTTTCTTCCAGAAGAGCACTAAAGCTCTTACAGATAAAGTGATTTTCCTACAATTAAGAGCAATTAAGCCAGAGTTACTAAGATGCTTATAATGAATGGATTAACGTCGGATGCATCAAAAAATTTTCCAATGTGATGGAAAAGTGTAGGCAGCAGTTATTTGCTTTATATCCACAAGGATTTTATCAAATAAATTCCGTAGAATTGGACTCCAAAAGTGACTTTGATTCCTTGAAACACGCACTTGGACTTCAAATATGATTGACCCAGTCTAGGTGGAAGGAGAATAATCACCACTCTGCAGAATGACACTCAACTCCAATGCTTGCACCGAAGCATCATTATTTATAGCATGAAGATGGCTCAGATTGTGCTCCGACATATAATTCCATATCGGGAGTCATGCACAAATCTCCCGCTGTGATGCGGATACTGAGCCTAGGACAAAATCACATTTAATCCCATCCAGTGGATAACAAAATCAGCCCTATCCATGCAAATTGACTGATGACCGAGGAGAGGACGGAACTCAGAAGAATGATAAGGTTATGAGGGCAAGACACCACCTTCACTTTTAAAGGCGAATTTAACCAAATCTGTAAGTACATCACCTGCTGTCGACGTTTCTCACGTTTCAGTCTAGCCACCTCTAAGGTCTCCAGTTGGCGCATGTAGCGAAGTCCCCTTGCTCCTTTGACTCTCGACCGTTTGATCAAATCCAAGCTATTTGTTGAGAAGACCTCGGTCACTCTGGACTGTGACTTTTCTTGGTAGGATAAAGGATAGTCATAATTCGTATAGCATAAAGCGCCATACATACCTGTATACTTACGCAGATGCATAGCATCGGTAAATTAGATTTCTGGATAAACTCGACTGATGCAGAGGCCAATTTAAGTGGGCCGTCAATAAATGTTTGAGCCTACAGTCAATCAGCGAACTAGTACGTTCATCTAGGCAAGCAGATAATAAGCAATAAAACTTGGAAACAAAGTCGGACAAGTGATTATCGCCATTGTATATTGCCGTATTTATTTCTCAGTCGATATCCAAGTCTGTAGCAATCATTATAAGCCAAAATAACCGTACCTTGAGTCATAGTTTTTCGCCTGCCCTCCATTTCTGCTTCTCGATCCTGTCGCAACTCCTCCTGTAGTTGCTGCAGCAGTTCAAAGTGAAGAGGAGGTAGTTTGGCCTTCCTAATTGAACTGACCCAGTCGTTAGTTCCAAAGGCCTTGAGCACAATGTACTCACAGGCTAGATCCTTTCTGAATCTAAGAAAATGCAAAAAAAACTATTACGTTAAACAACTCAATGCTTTTTATGCTCAAAAGTGAAAACAACCCCATTGCTTAAATAGGTAGCCTCGCTATTGCTACCCAGCGTTACAGCAGACAGCCTGACTTGGTTAGATATAATGAGAGCGAAACACCACCTATCAAGCAATTTTTGAAGCGCAATTGATCCCTTTCGACTTTGGAACTCCAGTTCCTTGTGTAGTGTTGCCGTTTGCTGCTGTCGTTGACTCATGAGCTGTTCTCTCAATCGTTCCAGCATTTCATATTCCTTCAAACAGCAAATTAAACTAGATAAAACCAAGGAAATACAATAGAAAATGGCTTGTGCATCCTTCTAGGTACCCGACTGTTTACGCGCATATGAGAAGGCAGTCGGTCGTTCTGCTCTTTCAGCTGCTTGAAACGCAGACGTAACTCCGCAAGTTGTTTTCTGGTTTCTCGTTTCTTTTCTTCTCCAGCCTCAACAAGCTTATCCCACTCCATCTTCCTGCGCGCTTGCTCAATGCTGAACTCATTTGCATTCTGAATGTCTTCTTCTGCAGGCTCGTGCTGCAAAGAGGCAATAGAACATTACCATTCGAAAGTTATTGGATTAAAAGCCTTTCGCAAACCAATGGATTTTTTGTGGTCAACAGTATCAAGACGCATGAATGGCTACAAAAGATAAAAATGCTACCAATCTAGCGAAACGGATAAGCATGGAAGAGCTGTCGAAATAAAATCGACTTCTTTTGCATTTAACTACGGCTATCATGCAATTGCTAAAAAATTGCATGAATACTGCACGACTTCTGAATGTGTACATTTCCCCATAATTTAGAGTCCAAATGTGATGCTGAGAGCGCACATGAAACGCAATTCAAATAATGCATTTTCTTTGATAGCATTCGCAGTAATAAACCATAGAGAGCGAAGAATAAGAAGATTAGAGAGAAAAAATTTACGTTTTAGTCATAATAATTGTAATAATCATAATAGCAATAACACTGCTTTAGGTAATTTTTATGTAGAGTAAACTCACACTAGCAGAGGGAAGTTTGACTAACGGCTTGTTAGCCTCCTGTGGCAGCAGTGATTCGGACATTAGTTCCAATACAAAGAAGGTTCCATCCTCCCCAACTGTTAGAAGAAACCTGTGGTTGGATGACGGTAAATCACACTTGATTAAACAAATAAGGAGATGAATTGGTGGTGATGGAGAATAAGGAAAACCACCTGAAATAGTGAATACCTCTCTCTCCTCTCCTGAAGAGGAATGAATGTGTCTAAATAAATGTGAAAACTCATTCCTTTCATTAACACCAATTCAGTACCATGTGAGCGATTGTTTTGGATGCAAAAAGAGATTTGAGTGGCCGAAACTCATTTAACAAGTGATAAGAGAAGTGATGAGGTGTTGATCACTGGCGTCATAAATGGGAGGATTGACTCGGCTCACCGATCGTCAAAGGTGAGTTGGACCCCATTCACAGCTCCTCTATCGTTGTCCGAAAAAGCGCACGTCCAGAAGGCGCCCATCCGACTAAAATCGAATGCCTCCTCCAACAACTGAACACGTAGCAACCCATTCTGAAAGCCCATAACCACCCGACTTCCGCTGAGGCAGAACTTCCATGTGAGAAGTGGTGAATTGTTGCAAGCAATGATTTTTGAGGATTGCAATGGTTTCACTGATCGCACGCGCGGAAGCACCATCTCCAGTTCTGTTAATTCCCTATTTTCAGAATCTCGATTTTGCCCTGCATTTGGAGAGGCTTCCAATAGGTCCATTAGGTTACACTTGTACATGTAGCCGGCGTCAAAGTCACCCTTGGTTTGCAAAAGTGTGCATTCAAAGATGGATCAAGCTTTAGTAGATAATATGGCCGATAAATCAACTTTTCTACATGCAAAAAGCTTAACGAGGCGCACACAGTAGGAAAGTATTTGGAGCAAGTCTTGTATCCGAAGACGGATTTATTGGGTCCTTCATTATGCTCCCTAACTCTCTTCAATTTGCCACATCAATAAAACAGTAATGGGCAAAACTGACGCCAAATAATCATAATAGTTATTCACTATCATTACCATAATATCCATACTAGTAAGAAGGTCGCAAATGAACCCACCATATTAATCCAAACGTGGTTCGGATCTTCGCGACAAACCATCCCCCCAATGATTGGGGAAGGCTTTTCCGGTGCAAGCACTTTTAACTGAGATAGCTCTTCTTCAAGTTTGGCATGCAGACGTTTTTCATCTAACAATCAAGTTGATGAGAAACAGAATGTGAGACTTGTGCTTGCTTAAATATAACCGTTTTCAGATTACTAAGCTCAACTTCTACGGATGCCGCGCGCTCTTAGTGTTTTTAAAAACTACGAATTTATGGAACCTGCGATGGACACGAAACTAGCACTCTGAAATAGTCCTAATCAGTCATTCTCTTGTACTTCCACCTTACCCTCCATAGCTTTCATTAAGTCCTCCTCATTAATGAGACCTTCATTAAGAAGCCTTTGTGTATTATCCTGCCGCTTTTTCTTGGCCTCCTCATAAGCAGCTCGAAGGGAAAAGCTCTCTTCTACCACGCGCAAACCACCAGCAACACTTTCCATTCGAAAACCTCGGATTGGTATCGCGTCGGTTATCTCAAATGTCCCTTTTTCTGGTGCTTTTCGGAAGGGCACGAACACCTGCAAGTTATGTTAGGTACCCAAACCACGATTAGTAAGTCAAGCAGTACAGATGATACACCGGTAAAAAAGTAATGTGGATATGTGTCGTTCAACGCAATAAGCGGAAGAGAGTACCTCAATCACGCAACTATTGTCTAAGAAGAGCAAGAGAGTTGGTTTTGTGTCCATCGAACCTGCATAACGCCATTCAATTTTCATTGCCTTCGTTGGAATTCGAACGAACCCGCTTGCTACGATACGAAGACCACTGACGTGGAATATGAAAATGGTCCTATCAGCACTCTGGAATAGAGAAACATGGCGGTTGGTGTCTTCTACTCTTCAATTTAATTCTAATCGGATTTGGTTGGCTGACCACAACATTGAGTAGATGCGTCTTTTGAAAAATGTTTCCATAATTGTGATTTAAAATTGTTGTTTGGAGGAAAGATATTATTTAACACATAGTGGCTTCTGGTTAAGTTTCGAATGGGAATCTAGCGAAATAGTTATTCAAAACAATTGCCGATAAATTACACTATTAAAAACGTTTGACGCCGCCAAATGGACTTACTGCTGTAGCAAAGAACACGCCTTTTGAGTCGTAGTCCATGGACATCACGACGTCCGTGTGTGGTTTGAGCACCTGTATGAGTTCGATGTTGACCATTTGTGAAGGTGGATTTTCGAAGGAAACACCATCACCAGAAGTGATTTGCATAACACGGACCACTCCATCAGCGAAACCAGCCACTATTGTCTTTCCCTTGGGGTCAATCTATAGGGTTAGGAAACACGTTACTTCTGATAATGAAAGTAATTAATTTATCCACTCTTCACTTGAAAAGAGAATCCGGAACATACATGAGTAGGCGACCAAATCAAGCAGTGTCCACGGGCATTGAAACGCTTAGAACCCAATAATGCCTTCGTAGAAACATCGAAAATCCGAACACTCCCTGAAGCGAGAAAAGTCAGCAAATTTGAAGGAAGAAAATAATTTTTTGCTGTCTGCCATAAAAATTGCAGCATTAAATTATAAGAAAGTTGATCCACTGTGTTGACACGAATTTACCATCGAAACCAAGTGTAGCAGCTAGGTAGGAATTTGACGAGACTGCGCAGCCCACAATCGGCCCTGCATGGTAGGACAAAAGCAACTGCGGTGAAGCTGATACATGCGAAAAACTCAAGTCCAACTTCCATATTCCGTCGTTGGCGTCCTAAATGGGGAGAAAGAAGGTAAAAAGATTGTTTACATCTGCTTTAGTAAAAAAATCATTGATCTCCGTCTATGATGAACAGACGATGCACAATTTGGTAGCAATATCGAGAAGCTGGGTTAAAGTAGACGTTTGCCCCAGACCCTCGAATTATACTTCTTCTTGCTTAATGGTTGTAGGTTAAAGTAAACCAAGTTATGAACGACTTAAATCATAAATAATAATCTACTAAAAAACCTCGTGCAATCACTGGCGTTTCGGAGAACCACTTAGCCCACATTAATGTACCTCGTATCGAAAACTTAAAGGTTTGCATATCCCATGTGCAAAGCGAAATAACTTATTCACTAATGTCTGGTTATGTGCATTTTTTAACCCTTCTTCTGCCAGCTTAAAAGGGGAGAAATTGGCAGTTGATTTGTAGACCATTTGCAGCAAATGCATTTAAAGATAAAATAAAAAAAATTTTGGACAAGGCAAATTTATATGCTAAAATCAGCTCTCATTGTTATAATCAAACTTATGGCGAGTATTCTTGCCGCTGGTACTTACCATGCAGTACCAATTTACTTTCCCTTCGTTTTCTACTTTCTGCAAAGATGTGAGTTTCGCGTGAGGTGAAACACGCAACTCATTCATAGGTTCCAATTCCAAAAAAGTGCCTTCTTCTTGTGCCTCAGCCTGGTCGATTGCCTCGAATTCCCAGGTCTAGCATCCCACAAGAGTGCTTAATTTTTTTTCAAAGTGAAGATTTTAATGCACCAAACACAAAGGTCTGGTCATCTCACTTACACGAACATAGCCATCGGTCCCAACAGTAAATAGTTCACCTTCATAGATGAAGATATGCATGATGAGCCCATCATGACAAGGTGATCCGTCTTTGCGGCATATTTGCACCTTGATCAGATCGCCCTCCCACAGCAGAAGATTGCCCCATTCACAGCCCGAAAGCACCTTTCCGTCGGGCAAGATGACGAAACCCTCGATGTCAGACATTTCCACCTTGCCAAACTTTCCTATATCCCCCTGTAGCTTGAGCCCCGTGAAGGTCTTTGCCATCTTCCAAAACCGGATATGCCCCGACCCTGCTGTTACCAGTACACCGCGCAAGTCATCTGACCATCGCACTCGGAAGATTTCCTGTGAGAAGGCCTTGGTACGTAGAACGATTCGCTCCTCGCGCCATTCCCAAATAGTCAAAAGGTAATCAGGCTCATCTCCCACTGTTGCTATTAATGAACCGTCAGGACTGAAAGCAAACACAAATGCCAAAAATTTGTTTTATAGCTATTCCCCGACCCGTCACGCTGTTTTACTGCGACTTTTTTAAAGTCTAATCTTTTAACTCTACATAGCGACACCGAAAGGCACAAACCCAGCCTAGATATGACGCAGATTTTCGTCCTCTTAAAACGAGGATTAAACTTCTGCAATTCAGGTAGTGTATTCCACTACCAAAGCCAAATTGAAAGGGAAAGAAAGTGATTTGCCAATATTTATTGAATTCTTATAGACGCAATCAATATTGTTGTATATTTTCCTACATCTTTTGAATTCCATTATATACGCGGTATCTTAGCTGTGAGGATTGTTAAAAGAAATTCTGCAACAGCGTAGAATTGCGAAATCAAAAGATACTTGAGTCGAAAATTTGAACAACAAAAGGACTGGGAAAAAGTTAAAATGACAATGCCAAGCTTGGTTAGCAAACATACCGAGATAGAACTCATCACAATGAAATTTAGGTGGATTTTGTACATCTAGATAACAGTGGCAATTGTGAGTAGAGGAACAAAGTTGCCAGTGGCCTGAACTCACGTGAATTGGCATGAAGGATAGGCAACTTGGGTGCCTTCCCGAAGAATGCGGAACAGCTTGAGACTGGGATATTCATAGATGCAAACATTGGGGTTCACTCCCTTCTCTGCTATAGCAATATGTGTGCCTTCAGGGTGGATATCCACAGCGCCTATGCCCAGGCCTCCGGTGGAGCGGAGGTATTTGCATTCTCCGCTGGCAAGGTTATGGATCTCGAAGTAGTTTCCTACCACAAAACCTACACTATCGACACCAAGAATTTTGAGGTTGTCTCGTCGAAGGGTGTCACAACCGAATGAATGATAGAGCTTTAGTAAGTCCTCAGGCAATCCACCCTCAAATGATGTATGAGGTTTGGCAACTATGGTCTCAGGATCGTAGTAAAAATCATCAGGAATATGTTGGCTCCAGCTAGGAGCAGCATCATCCTCTTCATATTCTCCATCCTCCTCTTCATTCACCACGTACTTTTTTGTCATTTCCATATCTAGGTCTGTACTTTTATCGTTATTCGAAAAACTTTCTGTGACATAAAAAGTTAAAGGTTAATTAGCAGTCAAAAAAATTGTTTTTTCTCCATGCAATTCCAAACCATATCCGAGCAATCAGAAGCCAGTTTTACGCATAGTACTCCTAAGGAATTAATGCAAAAGAAAAACCCCTATAAATTTGCAGAACCGCAAAATCTACAAGTTTATAGTATTTGACAATGATTTGCGATCTATTTAGCATTATTCATCTCAACAAAACGCCCCCACAAGCAAACTGAAATAATAAATTGACGAAAAGTGCAAAAAATAACTAAAGTAAAAACATATGATATAAGAAAAACGCTTGATATAATTTAAATAAACTTGATCTTAAGCTACAAAACAATGCCCAAAACTTTAGAAAATGTCCATGTACAAAGGTAAATAGACAGAGGCCC